GTGCTTTACCAGTTCTAGGATGGTGAAGATTTAAAAAGCAGCTCACCCAACATGATCGGTATGGTTGTATGTGATGGCCTCAGTCAGCGCTGCTCCACTGACCAGGTGCATATGGGTTACCCTAGGGGAGGTTGACTGTGACCACTGATGAATACATAACTTACTTTGGCTTCATCCACATGATAGGAAAGCTTTAACAAACTTAATTACTCACCATGCTCTGTGAATATAGGCCAGTCTCTAGTACTCAGGTGGCCTTCTTTCTCCCTACTTTCATTTATTATCTATTCTTCACAATCCCACCATTACCCCCAAGATTTGAGTCACCAGGTGCCTTCATACTCTGGATCAAGTCTGGTTCATGCCAAAAGGGATACAAATCTGCAAAGAGAGTTTAAGTTGCCAAACTCTGAACTACTTCAGTATCTGCAAGTAAAATAATATGTTTCCTCCACTGCTTGAGTTTCAGGTGCAGTTTAAACTCTTGCAGTTTTTAATCTAAATGATCCACACTCTCCAGGGCTACTTTCTTTATTCTATGAGGTAATAGTTTCTCAGTTTTCTACATCACCCATAACTACATGTGCAAATGAGAACTAGACCCGGAGACCAAGTTGCAACATAATGTTTGAATTTAAACCTGGGATACAACTAAATATTTTTAGAAGCAACACAACATTTTTCAGCAGAAAATTGCTCAGTAGTGTACCATGACAGACCCCGTTCTCCCCATTCCACTGTTTTGCTGCTGGACAATTTATATCAAGCTCTCATTAAGAAATAAGGAACTGCAGATAACACAGGAGTGTAAGCAAGCATTTTTATTAAGGAAAAATTGGCTAAAGAGTACAGGCAAGTGTTTTACTACAAAAATGAAAAGACCACAGGTGACACAGCAGTGTAAAATTGACCAGCAGCAGGACTAGGCTCAAATTTACTGGAGGCAAAAAGCACTGACTGGGGCTTTACTAATTAAGACTTTATTCATATTTGAGATACTACATAGAATATACATTAGCAGTGTAAAATCAACTAGGAGCAGGATAGTTTTAATAAAGGAAGCAAAATGTACTAGAAGCAAAGAACACAGATGTTTTTCTATAAAATGAATAAACCACAAATGATACAATAATTTTAAACAGCAAAGGAAAGCTAGGCCCAAATTTACTTGGGACAAAGAACATAGGTTAGCATTTGTATGTACAAAATTGACTAGCAGCAGGATAATAGGCCTAACTGTTGTATGCCTAACTTTTATTTTATCTAGGCTAAGGGTTGAAGTTAGTGTGAGTGATAACGTGAGGTGACTTAGGTGCACACACTGTTTTTTTCTTTTTCTTTCAAATGATATAGCAACGTGTTACAAACAAAAGACAGGTTCAACAACAGATGGTCGGTAACAAGTGAATGCTGTGCTTCAAACACCCCAAACTTAAAAAAGGCCCCAATAAAAAAAGAGCTTCCAGATCACTGACACTGTGGCAGGGGTGGACTGACAACTCATGGGGCCCCCGGGCAATAGGGGATCATGGGGCCCCTGTGTCCTTGCCCAAACTCAAAAAAAGCCTATGAAAAAGGTACCAGGGGCATCTCATGGGGCCCCCTACTGACCGAGTTTCCAAATGACCAGTCCGCCCCTGCACTGTGGTTGCTTTATGTATACCCCCCCATTTTATAGTGAGGGGGCTAGCTTAATCAACCCCCCCACACCTTTTTGGCCTTGCAAGTCTGCTGGCTATAGCCTAAATGCCATGCAGTGCATTAGGATTTAAAAATTTTCTCCCAGGCGAATATGCACATAAATTTGCCAGGACTGAGAATCTCGAACTCATAGTAGCGGAAAACCCAAAGCTCATTCTTATTGCATGGAACAACTTCCATGAATCAGCCACAAATTTCACATGCAGACTATTGAAGTTTGTTAATGTATAGAAATTAAGATTCAGAGAATCATGATTAAAGATTCACATGATCTACAGCTCTAAGTGGTTTACTCCAAGCTCTAAATTTAGGACAGTTACCATTTAGCTTCTAAAAATTATTTAGAATTTAGGATTGTAAGTATCCTTTATACATATGCAAATTATACAACATTATTTAGTTAAATACGGTCCTTGTATGATGTCTTTAGCAATTAACCTAACCTACCCACACTGACTGATTAGGCAGCCATTACACAAATGGATTTTAATGTGCATAAATATAAGGTTACTCTTTTAAGGACTAAAATTATGTATGAAATAAACAATCTAGGGGAAGTAGCAGTGGGTGGGGTTGAGGAGGAGCTTGCCTACACACTTAGAGGACTTTGGCCGATCCCCAAGCAGGAGGCTTGGCATGGGGCGAGGGTAGCCTTTAAGTGCATTTGAGCCTGCTCAACAGCAAGTTCAGGTGGAAGATGTGAGGAACGCTGAGATGCAGGAGCCTGGGAGCGGGCCAAGTGGGGAGCGGCCTACCTACAGCCCGGGACCTGGAAAGGAGGATCACTCAGCCTCATTGGTCCCCATAACCGATTTTACATAACAGGAGGCCTAAACACAGCCACCAACCCAACCAGCTCACAAGCAGACTGGGTGAGTAATCCTACACACCCTGGGCCAGTTAAGGGGAGGGAGCATTCTAGTGGGAAACCAGACTAGCTCTACACCCAGGACTGTTACATTTCAAGTGGCAGCTTTGGGTTCGCTTGCCCAAGGATTCCTCCAGACAGCTTGATAAAGAAGAGGCTTTATCCAGGGCCTGGTGTGGTAAACCAGGAGAGGATGTAGAGCTAGAAGTTCTATCTTGGGACTTGTTATTTAGTTGCCAGGAAGTTGTTCTCAGTTTGCAGTTCCCTTGGGCATCCCATACACCCTTACCCCATCCAAGTTCATTATCTCTAATAAAACGTAAAAACCAAGCTCATGGACTGTTTACTGTCTCTGGAATGCAAGTCTGTGAAAAATGCATGTTGCCTGGCTGTGCAGGACTATAGGGGGACCCAAAACTTCAGCAACTCCTAAGGGGGTTGTGCTAAATATTACATGAACATGCAGTTCGATTTTGGAAATAATGCAGAAAAAAGGGAAACTAAAACAAAATGGGGATTGGAAATTTCATCATTAGGAAAAAAAAAACTGAACTGAATGTATTCACTTTTAGAGAATAAGACGTAAATACTGTATACAAATGGTTCATATAGAAAATTTAGCAAAAAGTTGTTCACTTTACGGTCACCACAAAAAATATAAGGGGACTCTTGGGGGTTTATTTACTAAAGCTGGAGAGTCCAAAATCAGACTCCCTTCTGCATAGAAACCAATCAGCTTCCAGGTTTCATTGCCAAAGTTTCATTGAACAAGCTGAGGTTAGAAGCTGATTGGTTTCTATGCAGAAGGGAGGCTAATTTTGGACTCTCCAGCTTTAGTAAATAAACCCCTTTCTGTCCAGAGAAAACAAAGTTTAATCTCTACATATGAAACGTGTGCTGCATTTCTTAAAGTACAAAATTATAAATGTTCTTCAGTATTTAGAGAAAAAGAAATGCAGACTCACAAATTTCCACTAAAAGAAATTACCTTTAATAGCAATCTGTCCATAAGTAACCACAAATAATTCTTCCTGCCATCAGTTGCCATTTCACATATTTTAGCCTGCTGCTTCTGGGTATTACTGCTTGGGCAAAATCCAAATATAAAAGAATACACTGCTGCATGCTCTAACTTACAATCATCCATTGCCCCCAAGATAGTTGAAGTTTGTAGTACAAATAAAAATACATTACATTACAAATGGCTACTAATGCGTATAACATATAAAATAATTGATTGTCATCAGACATTGGAGAATCATTTTTTTTCCTGTTAATGCAAATTGGACCACACTTTATAATGGTTGTTTGCTTATCATTAGATGAGCTGCAATTTGGAAGATGTATGCTTTTCTTTTTTTTTTTTGGTACACTTATTTGCACAGTGGTTTTAAAGTGGAACTTCACTCTCACAATCAGCATGAACTATTTTTAATCCTTTTGCTGCTAGCATTAGTAAATGGATAGGAAGGTATATTATATTTACTTGTTTTACCTTTTTCTTTTTACATTTCTTCAGTTAATTCCTATTTAAAATAATGTCATACATCCCAGAAGTCTTCAGGAGGGGTTTTCTCAGATAAGCAGACCCTCCTGCTTGCATGCCTGAGCTAAGGGTAGATGAAATCCAGGAAGTAAATGCTACATGAATCATCTCTCCTTTCTCAATATGGTCACGGCCAGAAATGCTAGGGGGATGTTTTTCAAAGTGATTTCTCAGCAAAATAAAACAATGGATGGATGGGTGAGCTTGCTTTGCTTGAATATTAAAAATTAATTAAATAGCAATTTTGGTTTGAGGTGCTCCAATGCAATGTAGTTCTGCTTTAAACCCCAAACCAAAAATGCAATATATTGGAGCATACCAATCATTAGATATGGTGACTGCATCAGTTTTCTTTGTTTAGCCCCCCAACCCCCCTCGACGCCCTCTGTTTTCACCTGGTGATCTGGCCAGTAACACACCTCTTGTATTAGAGTACAATTGAACAGCACCTTTGTCAGCTGAAGCTAAACTCCAGCTCACACTGCAGTTACACAAGACATTACAGCAACAGCTTTTTTTCTTTTGGGATAAAGGCTTTACATAAAGAAAAGGCATCCATGTCAGTGGTAAATGGTTTGTCTCAATACTGATACATTTGCATGAGAGCTTTTTCTGGATCACCAGATGAAATTAAAGGAAAGAAAGCCTAAAAAAGAAAACTAATGCAGCCATGATGCAATATAATACATATTTGCCTTAGAGTATAATACCACTTTAAGCTTTCACACCATTACAGGAGCACCTCAAGGCTGGGCTTATATCTCCCTGAATACACACCTTCTGTACATTTGCTCCATCCTTACTTATTTACATGTCACACTTACACTGTTTCTGGCAAACCTACCCATCTTTTCCAATGTAATCTTTATATTAACCTCCCTGGAGGTATTCCCGAGTGTAGCTCGAGGTAAAGTTTCAGCACCACAAGCTGTCCACGACCTACACTCGGGAATACCTTGCAGCGTTGCTCCAGGATCTCTTCTGCACTTACCTTGTCCTGCGCTCCCGCGATGTCCCCCTGCAGTGTTCCTGGCAATGTCGTCCGACCGATGCCGGCATCTGTCTTCCGTTCCCTGCGACATCAGGATGTACGGGGATGGAACTGGCGGGAAATGTTAAGTGACATTCACTAAATTCACTAAAATCACATAATAAAACATTACTGTATCAAACCATTTCACATACATTTTGTCCCTAGTGCTTTGTCCTGTGCCCTGCCTGCATTTTTACTGTTCTTTCTGCCTTGAAACTGAGAAAAGTACATGGCGTCCAAAAAGCGTCCCTTTAGGTCAAAAGCGGTTTTAGACCAGCTAGAGAACAGCGATAGTAAATTAGAATCACTTGCAGAATTGAGTGATAATGACTATGATTATGTATACTATATTTCACATTTCAGTGTTTTTTGGTTTGATTATATTATTTAATAAAATGTATTATTATTATATTATTATTTTGTATGATTATTTATTAAATTATAATTTATGATTTTGCGTTTCAAATTTTAACATACCCGGGAAGTTTACTAGACTCTTGTTCAGACAGATTTCTGTGTGTTATTCCTAAAAATACAGGCCTACAATAAAAAAAATACATATTTCCATGAAAAAAAATGTACCGCTTTGAGCACAGAAATATGGACATAATCAGACCGCTAGGGAGGTTAAAGAAGAATAAGTTTCACAAGGATAAAAATGTACATGCTGGTCTAGTAATTCATGTTTAAACAATAAGAAGGGTAACCAAACTGATAAGAGGCATGGATTTGCTCAGCTATGAGGAAAGATTAGAGGAACTGAATGTATCATCTCCTGAGAAGAGGAGATTAAGGGGAGATATGATCAACATGTATACTGTAAATACATCAGTGGTTCACATAGTGAACTCAGTGTAGAGTTATTCACCCTGAAGTCATCACAGAGGACAAGGGGGCACTCTTTACTTCTGGAGGAAAAGAAATGTAATCTCCAAATACGGAAAGGTTTCTTCACAGTAAGCTGTGAGAATGTGGAATAGACTCCCTCAAGAGCTGGTTCTGGCCAGCTCAGCGGATTGCTTTAAAAAAGCCCTCGATTCTTTCTTGGATACACAGAATATAACTAGTCAGTAACATTTATAGGTAAAGTTGATCCAGGGAATATCCAACTGCCTCTCGGGGGATCAAGAAGGAATTTTTTTCCCTTGAAGGGGCAAATTGATTCATGCTTTGCTAGGTTTTTTGCCTTCCTCTGAATCAACTTTGGGTGTAGGATTATAACTTTTTTTTTAAGGTTGAACTGGATGGACTTTTGTCTTTTTTCAGCCAGACTAACTATATAATAATCTGTGCTTGACAAATGAAACACTGAAGGATTGTTAAGAAAAGCACGTTTGCTATTATCGTCTGTGAGGTTCAGCCCTACATGGCCAATTTGTGGGTATTCCTATGCTGCAGCTCGAAGCAGTACCCAGTTGTTAAAACCCTTCATCTGTCTGTGCCGTTAACACACCTGACAGGGATGCTGATTTCATAAATATTAGTCAATCACATTTCATCTCCTACTTAGCAGCGTGTTTGAACGGTGGTGGAGAAAGATGGGCCACCATATACCATGCTAGCTTGCCATCCAAAGCAGCTATTATAACGAGACAGAGTGCTACATGCACTTTGTCCTGTGGGGGGGGCAGGATAAAAATAAAATGTTTTAAAAAAAGAAGCACAATACTACAAAAGAGCTTCCACCATATAAATAATAATAATTAAAAAAAAAACTATTTACAATATGTATAAATACATGAGTTGTTCATACAGTGAACTTGGTGTACAGTTATTCACTTTAGGTCATTACAAAGGAAAAGGGTGCACTATTACTTTTGAAAGAAAAGAGATTTAACCTCCTTAACTGTAAAGAATTATTCACAGTAAGAGCTGTGAAAAAGTGGAATAGAATCCCTCAAGAACTAGTTTTGACCAGTTCAGTAGAATGTTTTTTTTAAAAAAAAGGGCTGAATACGTTCTAAATGCACAAACAAGAAATTAATATTAACATTTATAGGTGGTAACACCAGAGGTTGTTGATCCAGGGAATGTCTGATTGGCTTTCAGGTGTTAAGGAAGAAATTAGTTTTTCTTCACTGGAGCAAATTGGACCATGCTTTATAGAGGTTTTGCCTTCCACTGCATCATCTATGGGTATAGGATTCTATATATGGAGATTTTAAAATTTTCTTATTCAGTTTACTTCTTTTTACTGTTGACTGACATAAATTAACTTTTGTCTTGTTTAACTTGGCTAACTATACAATTATATTATCAGAGCTTTTTGTCAGGCAGAATGTGGCAGAACTCTGTTCCATCACCTCCAAATCTGGCCCTGTGCTTGAGGCTAACTACTGTCAATTGTAAACAGAGAAGCCTGGCTTCTGGGTGTACAAGTAACACAGCTCTTCTCCCGGTGTCAGCTCCAGACAAACCCTCGCTGCCTTCCTTTCCCCTTCATCTCCCTCCATCTCTCTGCAGCGCTCTCTCTCAGTACCTTTAGTACCGGTTACATAGGCAACTATATTATCAGAGCTTTTGTCAGGCAGAATGTAGCAGAACTCCGCTCCATCACCTCCAAATCTGGCCCTGTGCTTGAGGCTAGTACTGTCACTTATAAACCCTTGCTGCCTTCCTTTCCCCTTCATCTCCCTCCATATCTCTGCAGTGCTCTCTCTCAGTACCTCTAGTAATGGTTGCAGAGGTGGAGGCGGAACATCTCTCATGCCTGCTGCTGTTGAAACAAGTGAGGGTGGGAAGGGAGCTCACTTATCAGCCTCTGAGATACAGCCAGGAGGGATGTAACCTTTAGTAGGTTGTTCCAGAATGTGCATGGGGAGGTAAGCTGGATGGATATTGTGGGATGACAAGAGGATGGAAAAGTGTTAGCGTGGCAGGAAAGAAAAGTGTTAATGTGGCAAGGTGTTATAGTGGCAGGAAGGCAAATTGTTAGTGTGGGAGGGAGGCAAGGTATTAATGTGGCAGGGTGGCAAAGTGTTAAAGTGGAAAGGTGTGAAGATGGCCTAGATGCAAGGTGTTAATGTGGCAGGGAGGAGGTGGCATTGGAGCTGTGTGTCTACAGCTAACATCAGTTTCTGTCTATATGCTTGCCACTGCCCAGTGTCTTCTACAGTAATGGAGCATTAAATTAGGGCTCGTTCACACTATGTACCTTCATACTATCTGCACTCCTCTGCATACATGTACTACCCACCATCATACACTCTGCACTTCTCTCCTGCATATGCTACCTACCATCATACATTCTACACTCATTTCCTGCACATAACACCATACACTGCACACTTTTGTCCTGTACATACTGCCATGTATACCACACACTTTTTTCTGCACATACTGTACCATCATACATACCGCACTCCTTTCCATACACTCCAAACTTAAAAGAATGCCTTCTCACATAAAGTACATTCTACAATGGCTTGCGGAATACACAACTAAAAAAGTTGTCATTGAAACTCAATTGGAAATGTTGGCAACCAGACACTCTATATGCAGCAGACTCCTAACATCTTATAGTAAAGGGTATTAGTGAGCGCTACCTTAAAATAAAATGAAAGTATATATATATATATATATATATATATACACAACAAACTATGTTAATAAGCTGCTGATACACCGAGGGCTTGCCTTTATCCCTATGACTGCGTGCATTGCACGAAACGCATCAAGGGGCTGCAGCAACTGGACTTCCAACCACCACTGGTGGACACTTGGAATTTATGGTCAGTAACTTTTTGGAATTTTTTGTTATTTAGTATATACCCACTATCCTTGAATAAAGGTACCTTAAGCAGTATCACGCTATGTGGTCTCTTATTGGGCACTCTGTGTGAGTGCTATCATTCGCAGTGCCCATTTGGAGAAAAATATGACCCTGGTGGTGATACCTGGTAGTGGATCCTGGTGACCTTTTTCTGTAAAACTTGGGTGGTGAATCGTGCGGTAACCTGACCCGAGATCTGACTACCTATCTATGGCCTGGTGACGCAGGATTATTTATTGCGTATCTTAAACACACATCTGGTGAGTGCGTTTTTCATCCACTCGTTTGGTTTGCACCAATTGTCACTCCCGGATCAGGACGTCCACTCACCTAGAATTGTGATCTCTATATGATCCACACAATCACATTGAACCAATTTTAACATTTAATGATCACCTTCAGAGTGATATCACGTATCCACATAAGTTTGAAATAGCATGTTATTGTGTGTATTAACGTGTATCATTACTTAGCGCTACACCAAATTATTCGGATATACAGACTCCTAACATCTGCAATCTGTATTTAGCAGTCCTGAACTCTGCATTCTGTACGTAACACACTCCTGCTATTTAACAATGCCCCTTTTGGACCCTTATACTGATGCAATTTGGCCACACCCACCATTTGATCCAACGCACTCTCCCCCCATGATCGTGGGCATGGTTGAGTTCCTTCACCTATTTTCTGAGAAAAAAAAAACCCTGTATATTGCTATGTATTGCACAGTCTGTTTTTGGCACTATAGCCCTTGTTACAGCAATAAATCACCTTTCCTGTGCAATTTTTTTAGACAGCAAGCCGTTATTCTGCATTGTTTTTGTTTAGTTCTGGACTTGTTTCTCTGTGCAACATACAGTATTTGAAAAATGGTAGCTTAGGTTCCTTTGGCAACCGCTATAAAGTTACACATATGAGGGCAAATTGATATGTGTTGGTGTGGAGCACCAGAGCTTTGCAGGTTTTCTCCTCTGGTGAATTGTCCCAGTGCAAATGCCAGTTTCAACAAATTAGTTTATTACTACTGAAAACTGCATTATTTACTATATAAAGACCACCATGGGCATTAGCTGTAGATTTTCTTTCTCATATGCTTATGGCCTCATGCACACTGGACGTTAGAAAAAAACACCAGTAGCGCTAGCTGTAGAATGCTGCAATAAAAACGTTTTTTTAAATTTTTAGCTTTTTTTGCATTAGCTTTTTTCAGCACTTTTTAGTGTTTTTCAGCGTTTACATTTTTTAGCAAAGTTATACTCCCACAAAATCTTTGGGATCAAAAACGCTTGTAAATGCTGGCTAGCCGAGCTTTTTTTAGCG